TTCGAAAGTTTATGCGAAAACTTGTTTGGGATTATTTACTTCTACTAACCACTCTTGCCTCTATGGTGTTTGATGGACTTTGTGGTATTACCAAAGGCGAACAATTCAGTGGTTGCACAGTTAGTTAGACACTATTGATGGGTTCTTTTACAGCCGGGTGCTGTCCGGTTATCCGTCTACTTTAATACTGCAAGTATAGACAAACTTAGAGCAACTAGTTCCTCCGGTTGTCTTGTTTCTATCTTTTCTTTTCCAATGTTCGTTGCTTCAGTGACAAAATAAGGAAAACCAGAAAATTTCTCCGTCATTTAAGTTTATTAAGAAGGACGGCTAAATCTGTGCACCCGTGAGAAGTGCAGTACAGTTTATGTTATGTTCCTTTAATCAAAATAATGTTCATCTGGTTTTGTCTGCTCCCGGCTAGGCATACTGCCAGTTAGGATTTTAGAGTGGCCATCTGGGATGCTGTCCACCACTGTGTGCAGTTGTTTATATAACTCCTCCCTCTTCTATTATTCTGATTAGTTTGTTGGCGAGTGGCACTGGCTTATTACTTTTTCCCCTTTTAATATGAATCTTGCTCTCATTATCCCGGAGTGGATCGGTTCATGATGCATAAGCACTTTGGTTGCTGTTGGCAACATTGTGACAGCAAATCACTCACTGTGCATGTCACTGTGGCTTAGGTGACCAGAGTAGATTACTGACTCCATTTCAGGGCTTGGAGAATCCATATTCTTACTATCTGATCTCGCATATTTCCAGTTTCCTCTCTTTTATTCGGTAACCTGACAGCCTTCCTAGCATTGCACGAAAATTTCACGTCACCATGCAATTTCTTTTATCATGAAAGGCAAATGCACCGACTAACTGTGTTCCCAAAGTGTCTCACCACCCCGTGTCGCCTCCCCGATTCGATCAAATGAAAAGTTTATTTCCATTTCTCTTCTGCGCATTGAAGTTTTTGTGGCAGTTGGAATGATTTTCTGTCGCAGGTTTTCTAGGACCACGACCAACCATGTTTCTTCTTCCCGATTTAGAACCACCTTGTGAAGTACTCGGGGTTTGACCTACTTAGGTTGTTCCAGTTATACATATCTTTGTGACACCCTCTCCCCATCCTAGTCAGCTGATACGTACGAGTAGATTGCCATGTTCAAGTAAGTATGTACGCATGTTAGGCCTGATGGTGGTAACGAGAAGGAAATTATACCTGATAGATTTGCGTAAACCCACATTTTGACAGATGCATATTCGGCCAAGGGTTCCAACTGAGGATGCATACTTTCAGTGATCTTTCTTCTCAGGAGTAAAAAAACCAACGTTTGCATCTATGACATCTCATAAATATAGTAGGTGGCTGCAGCTGTCACCAATCCACATTGCTGAAATAGTCTACCATTTTATAAACTGAGTAGCTAACTCGTTATAAATAACCACACTCCAAATCTGGTAGACACATAAGTACACATTATGGTTCACTATTATGTGAAGCTTTGAAACATCAGAATGAGCTCAGGAGTAGTTTTATTTTTTATTTTTGATTTACAGCTTGATTCCACACTGTATTTTTGGTACAAGTATGGAATTTTCAGCATGGATATCGGTAGCCCAAATTTTTTAGGCCGACCATAGATATCAGGTGTGCGTCGGTAGGGGATCGAACCTCGGACCATATTCATGGACAGCGACAGTACTAACCACTGTGCCACAGACGCAGGATGTGACACTAAGTAAGTTGTTATGAGTTTCCTGACTCCTGCATTCTAAGTGAAGTTGCAAATTTTCATAGTGCACCTTGAATGTTTGAACCTTTGTTTTACGCATTAATGCCATATGGTGCCACGCTATCTTTTTATTTCCGGCACATGATAAAGAGTTGCAATAATTTAGATACTACGATAATCGAAATACAGAGAAAACCATGGTTATATTGTTTCGCAGGAGAGAACGCTCTCAGATGTTTACAGACTAAGTTCCATATGCAGAAACTTAGTGTAACCAGCCTGCCACCAGATATATTTTCGCATCTGTGTACAAAGGATTACTAAATACTCCTTGAGTTAAGTTTCGAAGTATTTTCCGTATTTACATTCATTTATAATTTTTATTTGATTTTTAGGCCGTTAACAAATGAGGAGAAGCTGTAAAACAACTTTTCCTATCCCGTAAATATTTCTGTCCTTGTTTTGTCTAAATTCCATTTTGCAGTATAGATGATAGTTTACTGGTGCACCTTTAATTCCCTTAACCTATAGTTTCAGTAGTATTAGTTATCTATTTAATATTTTCAAAACCATAAAGCTGCTTGATATAGAAATCTCGTTTAAAAGCCTGATCTAACAGACTCAAAACGGGTTCATACGATTTTGTTTACTCCTTTACCTAAGCATTTTTAGTTTGATTAACTGACTACGAAGTTTTTGAATAAATCTGTATTAAAAATAACTGACTTCTAGTGTCTTGGGCCATAGGTCAGGTCACCAAAGAGGTTGTGTATGTAAGTTGGCGATGATTGTCAAAATATGTCCAAGGTTTATTACCATTTGTCATCAGGCATGTACAGAGCACCAAATAAATAATGCCCATTATTATCAAGATTGACTAAGAATTGACTTCAGTCGGAGAAGTATTGTACCCTGGAAGTACTGAGCAACTGTTCCACTCCTATTCGGAACTCTTGAGAAGCATGCACTGCTGACCCACGAGGGGTCGAACCTAGAACCTTCGGACTACAAGGCAAGCTCGCTGACCATTTAGACACTGGAAAGGAGTCGAATAACCCATAAATTCTAGGTTCTACTAATTTGCGACATGGAGAGCAACCACTTGACAATATCATCGGCACATTTTTTCTTCACATCCGACTTGATGGGTTCCACTGCAAACCAACACTTAGAAATGCACAGTGAGACAGATTTATGGTAGTGTTTAAGGTCTAATAATATACTGAAGACACTATTAACAATCATACAGCATTCCTCCCTAAAATGGAATTTCACAACTAGGTTTTTTCTATTAATTAGAATGAATTAGCTCGTTCGTTTTGTAAAATTGCTACCGTGAAGGAATGTAGTTGGAGATCAAAGCCAACACGTACTTGTTTAATCTAGATGTGGAAAAAGCACAGTTACCGGACAATCAAGACAATATAAATTTTTTTATCTCTTTTGTTTTATTCCTTTCCAGGCAAAATGTATAAAGTAACTCAGAAAAACAGCTGAAGAGACAGAAAATGACTGTCGCCTGCTTTTTAACAACCCTGAAAATTCCTACAAACCAATGGAACCAACTAGGTCTTCATCGGATGAATCTGTGTTAATAACAAGAACAGCCCTTAGAAAATGAACTATTTCAGTAGGTAATGTCACGCTACAGTTATTCTCTTCTTCATGTGGTAGCAATATTTCAACACTGTTCAGCTGGAACATAAGCGCTTGCAACCAACCTGCAAAGAGTACCGCAGTAACACTAAGCAAACATGCTATTTAAACTTTTCACAGTTTCCTACACTCTGGATAACAAATTTTACAATTTTACTACAAACTGCTTCTGTTCAGATATTTTACAGTTGGGATTTCAGCGACAGGAAACCGTCAGTCGGCATGCCGTTTAAAAGCAGACACTGAAGGCATAAAACACTTCTGCAGATACAAGCACTCATAACAGATGCTTAATCCCCATTAACTTAAAAAGCATTTATATATATTTTTTTACTAAATTCGTCAGAAGTTTTACACACTAAAGTCTTTGAAAAAGAAAACAACCTGTTATAATGTTAACAGGTAATATTGGAAAGAAGAGGGAATTTTAAATATGAAATAAATTTGCAGCTGATAAAACCTCCCTATTTTATTATTTTTCAAAACGTTAATATAAAAAACGGGAAAATATGAGGCGAAGTTTAAGAATAGGGTCCCAAAACCTTCAACGCTCAAATGACCTTGAACGCATGCTAGTCGTTGGCTAACGGTTCCTGTCATTATCATAGCTGAAATATCAACCCTATTCATCAAATAAGGAGCAAGTTTCACCCAGATAACACTTTTATTACTGTTTGGACAATGTGTTAACATCTCGTTAGGGTTAGGATAGGGGTTAAGGCGAGTATTGTGGTTAGGGTTAGGTTTAGGGTTAGTGTTAGGGTTAGGGTTTAGGATTATGGTTAGGGTTAGGGTTTAGGGTTAGTTAGGGTTAGGGTTAGGGTAGCGATTAGGAATAGATTTTTCGTTTATTTCAAGTTCGTTTGTAATCCTTATTTCCCTTGTATGTAGTCGCCAATGATCTTACTGGAACCATAGTAACTAAACCGAGGGCTGAGGAGAGGACTACACAGCAAGAGAAGAGAGATGAACCATTCCCAAAACAGCACACCTTCAGTCTCTTTGGTGATTACATCTACGGAAACTAGTCCAAATTAGCAACTGATACTCTTCATCGCAACTGGAACGTATTTTTAAGTCACATAAGAGAAATATAATCCGTTTAATGTTTTTTTCATGCATTTTTTGTAAATATACGTTAAATTTTATGCAAAATTCCTCCTATTTTCTGATTGGTCGGCTCAAGGTCATTGTGCGTTCGCATCTCTTGGGACTCCATTCTTAAACTTTGCCAAATATGAAAATCTTAAGAGTACATACAGGTATATATACAGACGTATATGTATGTACTTTTTGGGTTTCAAATCAGGAATCTCGATACATGACATCAAACAAAAACACAAAGGGGAGTCTAATATTAAAGACAAAAGAAAGTGAAATAGGTATACGAAAAGATATAAAGTTGACCATAACTCAGATATGTATAACAAATTGGACAAATAATATGTACAGCACTTTAAATCATGAGGGTTAGAGTCAATATCGTTGTTTAAAACTGTATTAATTATCAATATTCAATAAAGATTTCAAAAGCCAAAAATATTAATAAAGTAAAGCACAAATAGTCTATAATCCAGTAAAACGAGTATCAAAATCCAATTCAAAAGTTTATCAATATCAGCCAAATAGCTGTGTAAAACATTGATGACAGTAAGGTTTACCTGAATGCTCTCTAAATGTGCCTGTTTGTAATGGGTTTAGACAGTAAGCACATATAAAATGCTCTGGATGATAACGTTTACCAAGTGCATTGACACATCGTCCAGTTATTGGTAATGAGCATGCTATGCATAATAAACCACGTCTAGAATAATAATGTGAATCACAATAAGCATATCCGTCAATTTCATGAAAGTTAGATCCAGTTAGTACTTTATTGCAATCCTAAGTTAAATAAAAAAAAATAAGAATAATAGAAAGCGGAAAGGAAAAATACGAGTGAAACTCGGTCTGATCATGAATACCAAACACGTTTTATTAATCACGTTTTCGAGTTTAGACAATAGCCTAAATTTATCAGCACACTGTGTAATCTGATGCCTGCATTATTTAGTCAGATAAATGCAGTCGAATAAGACGAAAATGAGACTAGTACATAGGAAAAGAGACTTACACGACAAGTGAAACAGTCTTTATGCCAAGGCATATCCAGTGCTGTAATATAAGCATCTGTAATCGGCTGCTGACAACCAGAACATGGAGTTCCAAATTTTGTAAAATAGCAATTACTAAATATCAAAAGAAACCAAAGAATATATATATATATGTATCTTGAAAAATTATCTAAAAATTGAACAAAACTGAAATAGAAGAAAAACATTTATTCACTTGAATATTGAAGCATAGCTTATAGATATCCCAAGTAGGAGGAATAATGTACGAGAACGTGTTCTATGATACACAAGACTAAAACCCTATTTGATAGATAATAACTTTAAGTCTCTAAGAATCTAAGGCAATTTTAAAAACAAGTCTTAAAAAATTGAACTTTCGAGACGGACGATTTATTTGTGAAGCTTATTTTGTCGTGACATACAAGACTCCATTATAATGGCAATCTATAGTTTTTTCAGTTTGTTTTACTATTATCATTGTTCCGGTTGGTTCCAAGTGGAACAGAAAGCTTTAGCAGCACATCTCTATTTTGTCTTGTTCTGTGCAGTTCTCTTTAGTTGGCCTCACGATTGCCCATAGATGTTCATCTCCTCAGCACACAGTCTCTTCCATCTCACCTTCGGACGCCAAACTTTTCGTTTCCCATCCGGGTTTCACTTTATCACTGGCCTGAAGCGCGATGTCATTCAACGGTCTCCCTAGCGTGTCTCCGATCCTTCTTCGCTTTCCTCAGAATATTTCTTGAGCAACAGGTTCTTGATAGGTTGATTCGTTTCCAGAGCTTTTCTTTTTGCTAATTCTTTCTGGTCATCTGAGGCTAGTTGAGACAGCTGTTGATAGAAGTCTGCAGTGGCCTGTTTGAATAGCTTTTTGTGACTCATGAGCCAAGTAAATTAGAAGCAAAAACATAACTTATGATTGACCGGAGATCAAACACAAAATTTATTTCAGTCTAAATAGTGTATTCTCTATTATGGACAAGATTTTATTTTGATAAATCACAGTGTTGTACAGTTATATTAACTGATGACCACATTTCGAGCACAAACTATTGCTCATAATCATACCAAGTTACTCACACAACTGTTTTTCTTCATTTATATACATGTGTGGAATCGATTAGATATTGGATTAAAAATCAGTATGAGACAATGTACATTCAGAAATAACAATACGAGTGTTATTAATCAGTTACAGTTAGATGAGAAATAAGATGAGTGTTTTTACAGTCATAATAAGCTACTTGTTAGAATGTTGTGATGTGTTTGAATTGAAGTAGAATTTTAAGATTATTTATTATCCTCTTCTGATTTGACCGGCGGTAATAATATCTTCTACATTTCTGGTATTTGCATTGAGTCATTTCTGTTGCATGTGTTGGGTGTAGACTCGATGAACAAGGATTCAGTAATCAATCTCTTTGATGTGTTCACAAAAACAGTAAGTGTAAACATGAAAAACTAGAACTAGTGTATAGGTAAACAAATCGATACGAAAGACATGTATCAAATTCATCCTTCACTCAATGAAAAATAAAAATCAGGCATTAAAGTGAAGAGATTTTATTTGTTTTCCTTGACAACTTCATTCCAACGTAAAGAGAATCTAAAATAACCATTTAAAATAGTCGTCTATGGAAACAATAGTACAGCAGGGAAGACAGCTAGAAATCGATCTTAATTTCCAACTTTTCTGAGCACAACTCCTGTTTCATATACCTTCCAAATCTTTATGATACATCAAGATTATTCTCTCAGTGATCAAGACAAAAATGTCTGTGTCTGTAAAGTGAATATCTAGACAATAATATGAAGCTGAATTCAGTAATGACAGATAAATCTACTGCACACACCAGTGGAAACGATATTAATCCTATGAGTGATAATTCTATGAGAATGAAATGCAAAAATTAAAATTACGACTTGGTAATTAAAACAGGATACAACATTAATATATGATTTTTTCCAATCCTTTGTATTCCGACTGGAAGAAGAAATGGTTTCAAGCCTCAATTTTAAAGCCTCATTAGCCGTTGTGTTATTTTTTTCACAAGGTGACGTTGCTAACCTCACGCTCAACCTTTCCTAATTATCAGGCCAACTACTGGCTAAGCGAGGCTAAGGAGTGCGTCAGCCATAAGTCAAAATCAGACCAGATTTAACGGTTGTTGAGCATTCTACCTCCGAACCAACCCTTTCAAAGTTTAGTCTTTTATGTAAGGAAAAATTATTCACTTATTATTCTCATAATTACTCAATATTTTCATTTATTTGAGGTTTGTTATTCAACAACACAAAGTCAACATATCTGAAATTTGATATATAGACACAAAAGGGTTAAAATAAGTTAATAAAATCAGTTAATGAATAGCATAATCAGCTCGAAGATGTGCACAGCACAATATTCTTACTACTATATTAACAAAAGTGCATTTCATTCTTCTGGATCAAACAAGTTATCAGTATATAGAAGTGGATTCAGATCAAAGTGTCAGTTGTACAAAGCAAAAACTATAAGATGTAGATTGATTTGTTACTATCAGAGATGAGTAGCTTATTATTAATATTATTATTATTATATCCGCTGCGCATCTCAATTGCCCTCTGTTTTCTGCCAACTTTTTCACCACGCTCCAAGTCTGCCCACATGCTTTCATCTCCTCCCGCATGACCTCCACCAAGTCACCCTCACACTGACGACCAACTCGCCGCTTCCATTTCGGGTACCACTCAAGCAATGGCTTGTCTAGTGATGTCACTTGATGGTTTCTCTTCTCAGAGTATGGCCAATCCACCTCCATTTCTTCCTGCCTATTTGTTTCACAATCGGTTTCTGGTTGGTTCGCTCATTCCTAGAGATCCCTGTTGCTGATCTTTTCCGGCTGGTTATCTGATCTTGAGTATTCAGCGAAGACAACTGTTAATGAAGGTCTGAAGTTTGTTTGAAATGCTCTTTATGACGCACAGTGCAAGTCTCTGATCCGTATTGTGAGTAGCACTGACTGACTTCACATTGGAGTTGAAGATCCGGATGTTATTTTTGATGCTGAGTGCTGTTGACCTCCACACAGACTTGAGAGTAGTGAAAGCTTGTCTTGCTTTTCCGATTCTGGCTTTGATATCCTCGTCAGTTCTATGCGCCTGTAGTTGTTGTAACGATGCTTCCCAGGTAGGTGGGTAGGTAAAGGAGGTTGTTTCTTTCAGGTTCCCCCATTTATGCTGACTGATTGTTGTCTGTTGTTGTTGTTTCTATTGATGTTGGCCGGGAATCTTCATCGCCTCTGTTTTATCTATGTTCACCTGAAGTCCCAACTTCTCCGGATGCTTCTTCTGCCAACTTGTTGCTTTTCACTTGTATATCTTCCAGTTTGTGGGAAATCATGCATATATCATCGGCGAAGTACAGATCCTCCAAGTGTTTTGTGTGAGTCCATTTTATGCCTACTTCCTCATATCGCGTTGTCTATCGCATTATCCAGTCTACTGCAATCAGGAAGATCATTGGCGTTAGTAGACAGCCTTGCCCGACTCCCGTCATCACTTCGAAGGATTCCGTAAGTTTCCCATTGTGGATTGCTTGGCATGCAGCATTGTCGTATAACTGTTGGATGAGATGTATAATTGTCGATGGCACCCCACAGTAGTAGCGAAGTAGTTGCCAAATTACTTCTCGACCGACGCTGTCGAGTGCCTTTTCAAAGTCGATGAAGTTGAGATAGAGAGGTGACTGTCATTCCAAGCTTTGTTCACTGATGATCCGTAGCGTGGCGATTTGATCAATACATGACTTGTTTCTCCTGAATCCAGCTTGTTCCGGTCGAAGTTTTTCATCCAGGGCTTGTTTGATTCTCTCCAGGAAGATGCGGCTTAGTATTTTGCCCGAGATGGACAGGAGCATAATTCCGCGCCAGTTTTTGCATTGACTCAAGTCTCCTTTCTTTGGTAGTTTGAATAAGTATCCTTTCCTCCAATCCTCAGGAGCTTAAATATTTAGGGGTTAACACGACTTGTTGTAAGTACACAGCAAGATAGCTAGAATCTTCTACTGAAGAGCTTATATGGATAAAAAAATTTTTAAACTGTTAGCAGTTATCGATATCTAGATGCGGCTAAACATACATAAGAATCTCCTCCCCAACCTTGCAATAATGCTGAAGCAAAACTCGCTTATTCTGAACTAACTTGAATATTCTAATAATGAGTAAAGTCTGAAATTGCTCTGAAATAGTTTGCTTAAGCGTACAGAGTAGAACTGGGGTTCGAACCCCAATGGGTGCGTACTGTCGATGATTCCTAAATGTTTTATCTGCCTAAATTGAACCCACTATGTACTGAAATAACAATGATCGTCCTTAAAAACAGCACTGGACACTTAACTATTTTGAAGAAACTTTAGAAATAGTATTTGTAGCTGAAATAATGCCTTTAGTGCTGAAATAAAGCTGAAAAATTGCCACTATGGACTGAACTAAGTGTTTTTGTTTTAAAGTAATACTATTCAGTGCTGAATTTGGGCTGATAGAGCTGAAATAAGTCTGATAAGCAAACACAGTAGGCTCCGAGCTACTTCTAAAATGCCTAGAAAAAGCACAGGGTGCTGAATTAGTGACAGTCATGCTGAAAACCGTCATTGAGTTCTAGTCTGTGCGCTTAGGCAAACTATTTCAGAACAATTTCAGACTTTACTCATTACAGAATGTTCAAGTTAGTTCAGAATTGGCCAGATTTGATTCAGCATTATAATGCTGAAATCTACCAATTGGTAGATTATTTCTCTACAAGTGTTATACAGAAAACAAAAAGCGTTAATATTTACACAAAAATCTATAATCCGGTCATCAAGAATAAGGACTTAAGAGTATAAAGATCAATAAAATACAGCAGGTATCTGAATCCATCAACTCTGTATTGTTGAGTCTGATATTGAAAGAAGAAGTTGGTTATGTGTGTACCCCATAAACTGAATAGGATAATCTTAGTTTGTATATCCAAAGTAAAATTGTTATCGGTGAGTCGGTGGTTCAGTGGTAAAATGCTTGTCAACTATGGACGTGGGCCGAGGTTCGATCTCTGAAAGACGCATTCCTTAACCTCGATACTAGCAAGTAATAAGCCCGGTAAAGACGAAAAGTTGAGTATGAAGCTAGCGACCTTATTCAAAGCTAAAACTTAGAGCTATCTATATGTTCTACTTGGAAGGCAAAGCATAAAACTAATAGTTAATAATAGTACATAATAAATCTTCATTTTAATTTGGTAAGAACAGTTACATTTTCAGTTCGAATTTGATTACCTTGTCAAAGATTGATATTTCATATCAGTCAAAGATATTAACACTAAGTATTTCTCATACTTACTTAGACTTATACACTTATATCTAAGAATATAGAAAGTTAATAAAAAGTTTAAAAGTGTCATAAATTAGTATATTCTTATATCATAGAATACTTTAAGCTCAATACTATTTCATAATGAACTCACGAGCAATACAGTCGACCGTTTTGTTCATGTACTGGTGATAATCCATTGAAATTTGAATGACATTCATAACAAAAGAAGTGTTCATGATGCCAAGCACGTGCTAATGCTAAAACACACTTCTAAAATGAACACAAATATAAACAAATATAAATTCTAAAGGATGTATCATTGGAAAAACAAATTACGACGAAAAATACGCATTTAATTACAATCTTAACACATTTCCTTTAAAAAATGGAAAATCAGTAAAAAAAATTTTAAATGAAATGAAAAAGAATACAACGGTTGTTTTAGTTGCCAATGCAGTTTGAAATAAAATTTATGGAAATAATATTTTTTTTTTACAAGCTTCAATTGTCACTTATATTAATTCCGAGTTCAACCAAGGATTGATATCAGTTAGAGAACCACTGAAAACCAGGGAGTACTGAACAGTTGTTTCGTCCAAGTTTGGGATTCATTCTCAGTACACACTCACCTGGAGGCAAGCTTAAAACAAATCAAATCCTTACAGACTAACTCTTGAAAGCTAATATTAATTATTTTCACAAAGAAAAACATTGCTTGACCAAAAATGTATGTTCCATAGTAATTAATTATTATTATTATATCCTTTATTTCCTAGAGGAACATAGGGCTTCAGCTGCACGCATCCATTGCCTTCGGTTTTCTGCCAAGTCTGCTCACGTGCTTTCATCTCATCCTCACATCACCTCCTCCGAGTCACCCTTGCACTGACGATCAACTCGCCGCTTCCTATCCAAGTTCCACTCGAGCAATGGCTTGTCTAGTGATGTCACTTGATGGTTTCTCTTCTCAGAGTATGGCCAATCCACCTCCATTTCTTCCTGCCTATTTGTTTCACAATCGGTTTCTGGTTGGTTCGCTCATTCCTAGAGATCCCTGTTGCTGATCTTTTCCGGCTGGTTATCTGATCTTGAGTATTCAGCGAAGACAACTGTTAATGAAGGTCTGAAGTTTGTTTGAAATGCTCTTTATGACGCACAGTGCAAGTCTCTGATCCGTATTGTGAGTAGCACTGACTGACTTCACATTGGAGTTGAAGATCCGGATGTTATTTTTGATGCTGAGTGCTGTTGACCTCCACACAGACTTGAGAGTAGTGAAAGCTTGTCTTGCTTTTCCGATTCTGGCTTTGATATCCTCGTCAGTTCTATGCGCCTGTAGTTGTTGTAACGATGCTTCCCAGGTAGGTGGGTAGGTAAAGGAGGTTGTTTCTTTCAGGTTCCCCCCATTTATGCTGACTGATTGTTGTCTGTTGTTGTTGTTTCTATTGATGTTGGCCGGGAATCTTCATCGCCTCTGTTTTATCTATGTTCACCTGAAGTCCCAACTTCTCCGGATGCTTCTTCTGCCAACTTGTTGCTTTTCACTTGTATATCTTCCAGTTTGTGGGAAATCAGACATATATCATCGGCGAAGTACAGATCCTCCATTATTGATGATGGAACTACTAGAAGGCCTTAGTATTGATCAACTTTTAATGCCCATTAATGAATTATTTGATTGATTGTGATAACCAGTGGAGTCCAGGATTTGCGTTTCGTCCTATTCGGGACCTGTTAGGTAGCAGCCTGACTAAATCACTGAGCTGCTTATTTTAATCTGTGGAAATATATCTTATTTACTCTACTGTAATTATCCAATTATATCTTTGAACTGCAATCCGTACTCACAGTTATTATCAATTGGTTTCAACCTACTTCTATAGGTTTTCGGAAGGAAGGAGGGAAAAAGAAATACAGTGGGTTGTAACAGGGCGCTTTGCATAGAACAATATTCTTTTAGAGGATATATTATTGATTATTAATCTACTTTACGATTCCACACAAGAAGTAAATGCTTTGTAGTAGAACATGCCGAGAATTCTGCAATATGTATTTTTCAGAACAGTTATTATTTTAATTATCTATTTTGCTATTCCTGCTGACAGTAGAACCCAGTGCCGATCGTTTCAAACGGCGAAGCGCTATCTACTAAGGCCACTGAAGAAAGAAAGTTACCGCTTGTGCAACGGGCATCAGTTATCATTTATTTAGGTTAGTTTATATTTCCTGTTGATTGATTGTATTGGATCAAAATACTCGGTCACTATCGACATGTCGGCTCCTCGTACAGACATGATAGAAGAGTCAGTACTGGTGTAACGACAGAAGACAAGGGTCAGTTAACATATCGTTTGTTGAGAAAATCAATAAATATTTATATATTTTTATGTATATTATTATTTGTTATTATTAGCAGAGAAACAGCGTCTTCTGATTGGTCTTTTTCTCACTGGAAGTTAATCTGTCATCTCTTTTTGGCCGGTTCTTTGAAGGTCAGACCATATATCTGCGGTTTGCCTCCACCCACGCAAAGTCTGCTGTGATTGGTTGTTGAGTTAGTCCTTGTTCTTGTTCTTTTCTCATGGCCAAGATTTTGGACGTAAACATTGACGTAAATTGCTACCTACCAATTTGGCTAGCAGACAGTTCTTACCACACTGGGAGTCGGCATGTCAACGATAACTTTATTGATTTATTTATTTAACCCACAAACTTCATTCAATATGGGCACCATAAGATGAGACATAACAATAATAAAACAAAGATATATAGAGAAAATAGGGGGAGGATGAATGAAGGATGTCATCCAGAGAGCAAGTAAGCATACTTGTCGAGATCATTCAACATTCATCATTTCACATTACTTTAAGAAAGAGAAGAAGGAAGGGGATTGTAGCATGTTCACCATTCATTGCGATCCTGTCCATATCTGATAACATTTTAAGCTAGCTATTTGAATTATTTTTTGAATACCAACCAAGGAGTCGTGATTTACCGACTGATACTATTCTAACACAAATATCCTTAATCCCATGGCACCAGTTCATAGGCTGACCGAAGAACGGTAGGGAAGCTTCTCAGATGACGTTCGTGATACATTTCAAAAACCTCTGAAGACGGCATTTCAAGATAACTATCTTCGATAAGTGCTGACCTACACCATGTCCAAACATATGCTGCCGGACCTCAGTACTGCTCACACGATGATACTGTCGGACGCAAGCAAGTTTACAGCGACAACAGTGATGGAATACGTACAGCAACTGCGTATTATCAGCCGAGAGTGACCAGGTTTCACAGGCATAGAGTAAGACTGCCCACATCAAAGCATTGTAGACCTGGACTTTGACAGTCAGTCTGACATTGTGACGGCATCAGAAGTTGCTCAAAATGGAGTATGTCACTACAGCTTTCACTATACTACTAGATATTCCGTCCATCACACCTCCACTAGCACTCACACAGCTACCCGGATACACGAACTTATCGACAACTTCAAGCAATTCACCTGTAAGGGTGAGTCCAGGTACAGGCTCTCGCCAATCTTGCAACAATATTTTTCACTTAGACGGCACAAAACACATAACATACTTAAAAACACTGATCGCTTACTGATTAAATACGATTTGGACAGCCTGTATGTCATCTTACAGTAAGACGAAAACACTACGTTTCAGTCCAATAAAGTCAATCAATGGGGAATAGAAATTAACTTAAGCAAACTTTTACTAACTTATTTTAAGATTTTAAGAAACTAGTAATTAATCAGAAATGAAAATTGCTTGGTTATGTAAAGACAGTATTAAATCAAGCAAACATCACAAATAAAGGGATAGAATTATATAGCTCGTCAAACCGTAAAAGTCAGAGTCCATATATGCGTTAATACCAAAGCAGATTATCACACAGGTCTCATTAGATGCATTAGTTTATAGTGAACATTTAAAATTAAATATTTAAATAAAGTGATAATTCTGTAGTAAACATGTTCCACTAGTATCTGTAAAAATCTCTAGTAAAAAGAATAATAACCTCTGTAGAAGATCTGATTCGATGCTAGATAGATTTATTTTATACAAACGCACAGTGAAACACTGTTAGTAACAGAATGATGTTTCAAATACAATTAATCGTTCATAATAACATCAACAAAATCTCTGACGAAATCTTAGCACGGATACAGAGGGCTAGTTTCGCATTTGCCTGTTTAAGACGTCTCTGGCGTAGACATGATATCCGACTATCGACTAAAGGGCGGGTGTACTGCTCATCAGTCCGCTCCGTCCTCCTTTATGGCTGTTAGCGAAACATGGCCATTGAGAGTGGAAGACATGAAAAGATTAGCTGTCTTTGGTCATAGGTGCATGCACTCTATCTCCGGTGTGAAGTGGTATAATAAGGTGAGCAATATTGAGGTTAGGCATCGGTCGAGTGCTAGGTAGTTGGGAGGGGAAATCAATCGATGAGGCTGGGAAATTATATCGACTGAGATGGTTAGGACATGTGTTACGTATGTCTAGTCTAAGCATTTCCTTCCTCGACGGGCAATATTAGCTGACATAGCGTCAGGCTGAAAAAGAGCTAGCGGCGGTCAAACCAAAACATGGCACCAGTCAATGAGATCCACAACAGTTAGTTTAAGTCAGTCACGTAGAAAGATGTAGACTTCTTGTCTGGTCGGGGTCCTCGGGACAGTAAAAACCAATGGTTGGAAACAATTGGTGACATGGCTCAAAACCGTTCTCAATGGCGCATATGCAACCACTCCTTGTGACTTTTGATTACCAATGAAACTGTATTGTTCTTCGTTATTACTATTCCTTTTATCTGACACCTCTGTTTACTGTCTCTAATATGCATTTCTTCTATTTTCTTCTCTTTTTTTGTGTGGTACATGGAATGTGGCGACTTGAACTGCCGCACATATGTGCAAAGTTTTATGTCAAAAACAGACAGATAGACAACAACATCGAAGCAAACATGTGACTTCTTAAATTGCTTTATTTAGATGTACTTTCTCCTGTTTCCTCTTTGATTTTTCATATATCTGGGATAGGCTTTGCGTCACTTCAGTTCAATGATTAACATCTCTCTCCACGTAACTCTATATTACTTTTTTAAAACATTTATCCGATCTCACTTTATTGTTTCATTAAATTTGGTCAAGAATTTTTCTAGGTTACTGAACTTTGAAAAGCCAGCTATTCTTGATCTGTCTAAATTCCTATATTCCGTCAACCTCAATACCCCAATTCTACTATTCCATTAAG